GGAGGTACTACCAAGACAACCTTTGAGGCCGGGTGTTACATGCTGCGCCTGCACACAGGCCCTGTTTTGAAGGGCCCGACGGTTGCTAAGGGCCCCCCAGGCCACATGCCATCCAACGCGCACCCTGGAGGCCCATAGCGGCCTCTTTGGCCACAGGTACTGGTAGGGTCCGTCTGAACGTCGTTTCGGACTGCAGGTCCCAAGGCAACGCCTTGGACCAGGTATGTAGGGACCAGGCCTTTTTCAAGGCCAGGCGCATTTTGGCGCCTCGCTGCATCAGCAGCGCAGTCTGGGCACCTGGTAGGGACCCAGCCTAAGTAGGCCGTTTTGAGGCCGCACCCGAGTCCGCCCACTCGGCCCGGCGCTACATCTAGCTGGGCTGAGACCGAACTCAACGGAGAGTCCGGTCGCTCACTTCTTGAGCGACACGCTGTTGGATAGAGGATGCGCTACTCTAACGCTGCGCTACTAGACCAGGAGGAGACGCACACGGAAGGAGACAGAGACGGAGGCTTACCTGCAGCTGCGGACTTACCTGGCACCATAGCTGGGCTCCGCGTGGTACCTGCACAGGGCGGCGACATAGTCAGCACGGCGGTAGCACCTGTAGGTGAGATAGCGAGGAGGACGGCATTCTCTTCTCCCTCCTCGTCCTCCATCTCATCTCTCTCTCTCCTTCTTCCTCCTTCCTCCTTCCTCTTCTTCATTATCCTCTTCTTCTTCTTCGGATACGAGAGTGAGAGAGGTTATCAGCAGAGGATATTGGCAGAGGTTACCAAGGGCATGTTGCCCAGGATCTGATTCGACATTTCTGAGGTAGACATTGATTGGACACCGGCAAGGGACTATTTTGGACTTCGCTATCGCGATCTTAGACTCCCCCCTCGCCTCCATCTTCATCTTCCCTCTCCCTCCATCCCTCGTCTATGGTATCTCCCCATGTGCGTGTACAAGGAGGGACCTTTCTTCTTGGTGTGCAGTCCCTCCTCTTCCTSTCACATGTGTGATGTATGATGGGATGTCGTGTCAGTCCAGGTCAGGTCAGGACTTACCGTGAAGTCTTCCGCTGCACTATCGAGTTCCATTTCGTATGTCTCAGGATCTACATTGTCTGTTGATGTTTCACTAATGTTGCATTGTCCATTCAGTCCTTTT